AGTCGAGGTGTATGATGCTTTGTAGGTTTAATATTTTTTTGTTTGTCTGTAGTAATATTTCACATTATTACAAAAACAACTATTATTAACATGTAATTTTTACATAGATATGCTTAATACTAAATTCATCACTTTTATAGAGATTTTTTCTTAATTACTTATCCTATACATAATTACTACTTAGTTGTATATATAATAATGTATTATACTCTATCTCCCCCCTTTTCTCTTCATTTTCTTTCTCATGCCTCTCTTCATTACCAATTAAAATTGGCAGCAATTTTATTTTATTATAAAACAATTTTCATTGAACTTAACTTCCTAATCAAGTCAATGTGATCTTTTGTATGAATCAGATCCTTATCTTTTGCAATAACGAACTTGGCATATTCGAACTTAACTTCGGTGAAACTATTAAGTAATCACAATTCCCCTACTTAAAAAAAATAATTGCCAGAAACTATTACAAAACTGTAAATCCTATTAAAAGCTTCATTGACGTACGGTCACTAAAAAACTTTGAAGTTTTGAATTCGAAAATTGAATTTCGCAAAATTGTTATTTATTTGAATATGGTGTTATTGCAAATAATTAAGAATATCTTTTAGAGTTTATATCTTAATTTTGAGGGAGTGGTTTGATGAAAATTAAAGTTTTCTTGGTTGGATTTTCAGATTGAATCTCAAAAAGAAGAAAAACAATAATATATAAATAAGTTGTATGTATTATGTATGTCGGCTGTATATTATTTGTATTTTCAATGTATCACTAGACATACAATGACATACACACCACATACAAAATACATGTAATAATATAATTGTATGCAAGTTGTATGTACGTAAATTTTATGTAGCAACGTATTTGTGTTCAAATTACATTGAACCTACTTGGGTGAGGGAAATATGCATAGATGGCAATGGGGCGGGGCGGTTGGGGGCGTGTTCTGTCTCAACCCGCAAAGGCTTCAACCCGCCCCGCCTGGCCCCGTCCCGCATAACAAAATTTTATGTTTTCAACCCGCTCCGCCCCGCATCGCATAGTACAAAATTTTCTTTTTTTTTTTTAATTATTAATTTTAATGAGTATTTTTTCCCAAACATTTTTTTTGTTAACTTGTACTAACAGAGCTAGTTGTTGTTTTTTATTTTAGGGCTTTTAAAATCAAGAATCAAAAGCATTATTAGAAAGAAAGCAAACCCAGAAAATTGAAGAAGTAAAACGTTTTGGTATTATGTCTACTGATCATTTTTAAATCTTCTTAGGATTAGTTTCTGGACAAATATGTATTCAATAAAGTGAATTGGTCTTATAGTAATAATGATGATCTAAATGCATAACTGATTTGATAATGCAAACAAAATATAGCAAATTTTTTGTAATATATCAATTTAAGATGACGGAATAAACACCGGATATAATATGGTAAAGCCTAAAGGAATTAATAAGGAAGATTGATCAAAATTGCATGCTTAGCGGAAGAATTTTATAATAAGATTCTAGGAAAGATAAAATTATTCCAAAACCTGCAATAGCCCCGCAACCGCATTCATTTGTGTAAAAAATCTCAACCCGCACCGCCCCCGTCCATCCACTCCGCCCCGCACCCACACCGTCCCATTGTCATCCCTAGAAATATGAACACAAACGTAATCCTAAGCTGAGCTAAACTTTATTAGATCAAGAAATTTTAAACTCCAGAACTTATTTACCCATTGATTTAGAGTATGAAAATTTAAAGAAGAGTTATCCGCAATTAAACTAATAGCCCGTTTGGCCAAGTTTCTAAAATCAACTTATTTTGAAAGTATTTTTCTCAAAAGTACTTTTTTTAAAAGTGTTTTTGGTGAGAAACAATTTGTGTTTGGCTAATTAATTTGAAAAATATTTTTGAGCAGTAATTAATGTTTGGCCGAGCTTTTGAAAATTGCTTCTAAGTGTATTTTTCTCAAAAGTGTTTCTCAGAAAAACGATTTTGAAGAGAAGCTGTTTCTCCAAAACTAGTTCTGTTTCTCCTCAAAATCACTTTTTTTACTTTCATAAGCTTGGTCAAACACCTCAATATTTGGCTAAAAATGTTTTTGGTAAAAAAAGAAAGAAAAAAATTTGGCCAAATTAACAACAAGAAGTCAACAACAACAAACCCTGGGTCGATATGTTTCAGCCACAACATTTTGCTCGATATTAGCGATCCGAATAAAAGTGCAACAAAGCTAGAATGGCAGTGAAGGTGATAAGGGAGCACAGAATATGAATACCCCAGTGGAGTCTTCTTTAAAATACCTGCTCCAGCTTCAGATTTGGCTCTTTACTCGAAGCTTTTCGAATCAAAATCTCATAAAGAACGGGAATCAATTACTCCGTTTGTTATTTCGTAGGCCTTTGACTATGGTCGGACATAATTTGGTAAATATCGAATTATCATATCGAAATCGAAAATTTTAATATTTTAATATTTGATATGACATTTGGTTTAAGTTTTTTTAAAAAAATTGATATTACGTATGATATTTGGTATTTACAAAAATAATAACAAAATACTGATAACACACTGAAATATATAATAACTTATATAATATACATATTATTGATTATAACATACTAAGTTACATAATAATTTTCTTTAGTATGTATGTTGAGGCTGGCACTAAAAATCATGTACTTCTTTAGGAAAATGGAGGAACAAGGTAGTTTGCAGATTTTGACTCTTATTCTCTAGGATGCCAAGCATCTTAACGTAACACTTATTTTGATAACTTAATCTTATGTTATGATTTTATATCTGTGAGTACTTTAATTAAGAATATTACATTCTATGACTTTATGCACTAGTTAATATTGATATCGAATAAACCAAAGTTACCGTACCGAATAAACAGAAATTGAAAGAAGAAAAGTCGAACATACCGAATATAATTAGGTACGGTATTGATATAGCATTTTAAGAAATCGAGTACCAAACCGAAATATCTAAATATCGTACCGTACCGACCAACAAACACTCCTTTGTTTCACCATAAAAATGGTGGTTTTTAAGGAAAAATAAAATATTTGGAGTTAAGTTCAAAAATGATATTTGAAATTTAAAATTATATTTGAACATGCATTTCACTTGAAAAATATTGTAATTCTGTGAGTGAAGAATTTTTTTCAAAAAAACTTATTTTGTTTTGACAAATTCATTTTCGAAAAATTTAAAAACTTATAAATTTTTATGGATAAATACGTTATTGAAAAAAAAAATTAAGAAAAAAAAATCTATGGACAAACGGTCCTTCATGTGGTTAACTTTGTTTTCAACACCTCACAAAAACATTACTCTGCGTTTTTTTAAAATTGTTATAACTTTATCTTCCTAATTTACCTTTAATCAATTCAATTCACTTTGGCTGGATCCACTTGATATATAAGTTTATTTTTTATGAGGAGAAAATATGTGAAATTTCATTATTATTCATTTAAATGGATAATTTTTTTGCATTTATTTAACTTACATGTCAAAAAAATCTTTAATTTTCTAAAGTCCTTATTCAATCAAATACTTTCGTAGAAATTGCTAAAATAATTCTCCTCTTTTTATACAGTACAATTTTGATTAGAAAGAAATTTCATTGAATCCTATTCCCTCCACTTAGGATCATCATTGAGCTGTCGCTATTTTCTTGCAAATAGGGACCTAAATGAAGTTTGCATAGAAATGTAATGATAAGCTCTTCTTTTAATTGCAAGCGTTTCTATTTTGTCTTTGGAATTCGGAGCTCATTATTGCTTTCCCACATCCCGCAATTTAATGACCCAGAGAGAATTGTGGGTCATTATGTATTGCACCTAAATCTAATTAAAGAGAAAATATACCTCGTCTATACATAGGCGGACCTACATGGTCACTAGAGGGGTCATCGGAACCCGTTAACTTCGGCAAAAATTATATATATATACTTGTATATATATCAAGGACCCTCTAAATAATTTTGATGTGCCCCTTCAAACACAAAATTGTTGGACTGATTTAACATGCGTCATTTGCTCCTCCCTCTCAAGACGACCTGGGTTCAAGATCCAGCAGCAATGCATGCTTTTTTTCATTTTATTTTTTTTTCTCTTTGAATTCAAGGTAGTTTAGTATTCTGTATTTAGAGCTTAATTTGATTTTCTCTCTCTCTTTTTTTTAATCTTTTCTGAGTTCAAAAATATTTTAGCACTAGTACATTTAGTGAATTTAGTTTAGCTTCGCTCCCTTTAAATCTCTCTCTCAAAAGCCTCAAACCAAGCTTCTCTCCACGATTAGTTCTTTAGAGCGTCTATATAAAATAGTCAAAAACGTTTTTGAGAACGTCTTTCTAGAATTTGAAAAAGGTAACAGAGAGACATAAAAAGATTAAAGAAAATTGGAGAGGAATAAAATATTCCATTAGCAAGAAGCCAATTTATATTCTTTATCATGATAACTAAGTTTATAAGCATCATCATTTTCTTGACTTGTATTAAAATAAGTAATTCAACAAAATTCCCCCCAAAAAGGGCGATAGAAAAACTTCAAAATGCTTGTGCCTTCAAAAATCACTTCGGCAAAGTAGCATACCTCCGTCGATTTAACGATGGCGATTGAGACTCTGCTTGAACTACTTAACGAATATTTAATCTTGATTTTATTTGAGTAAGTTTTTGATATTTTAAAAGATATATTTGATCACTGACTCATAATCATTAAATTTTCAAGTAGTTAACACGCTAAATTTTATCGCTACTAGCTTATATATCTATGTTAAAGACAATGATATCCTTACTGTGCTCAAATCCTGGGTCCGCCTATGCGTCTATAGCAAAGTGACATTAATTTCTGCTAATATATAAGTGACTAAGATGGACGAACACTGCACATAGAAGTGGTACAAAATGCTGATGTGGATTGTACTCCATTGAGTCAGAAAGACTCACATTTTCATTCACACGTGTATTCCACTCAGAAAGATTCACCCACTCTTTTTACGCAGTTATGCTACTTTCTCATCTCTCCTGAACATTCGTACATTTTCTTCTAATTTCTTCTGCATCTTTGTGGTCTTCCCTAAATTTCTCTCATACCTTTTCTATTTTGGGTATTTCTTCAAAGATTCTCCCTTTTGGCTAATTTTTTATCGTTTCGGTTCGAAGTTCTGGCAAGTTTTTTGTCTAATTAATCTTTTTTATTGCACTTGTTTGGTGGTAGATTTTGCTAGATTTACATATGTCAATAACTTTATCTAACCGGAACATGCATATCTTTTAATATTTATTCATTTCAGAGACTACGATTCTCTTTCTCCTTCAGTGCTTTCAAGCATCAAATTATTCGCTAGAAGATTAAGTTTTGACAATACGAGTAAGCACACTTCAGTACCGGTAGACATACTTTGATGGTGTTCTTTATGTGTAAATGTTATAGTTAGTGATAGTTTCTTTCATAATGTCTAATTTTAAATTATTTTTGCTTAAAAATTCCAGTTATCTAATCTTTTTCATTCATAATTACCTGACATGATGTAGATGACTCTAAGATGTTTGATGAAATGCCTGATAAAACATTAATGATTTTACTGGTAAATGAAACTTTTTAGGTCCCCGCATTTGAAATTGGACACCATAGAAGATATGCAGTTGATAAACTTCGAGAAGAATAAAATTTCACTGTTTGAATTCATCTCTACTGATATTACATTATTATAATCACAACTTGAAAAGAAATTATGTCTTGTGTTTCGATCAAAAAAAAATGCTAGGTATTGTGATTGTTTGGTCTTTACTGCTTTCTCGCCGAAAATTACTTATTACATTCCCGCCACTAAATATGTTATATGCACATTTTCATGTTCAATATATTTTTTGTGAAAAATATTTGTATTATTTTGTGAAAAAAGTAATAAAACAAAGGTCACTGAGGAATTAAGATGTCGTATACAATATGCTGAATTCTTCTGCATCAACAGTTGATGTTCTCTGATAGAATTTAATGAACAATCACCTCTTAAATTCATGAGTTCTCATATAGAATAGCGTAAAGAAATTGGATGCCAAGCTTTTGCATCTATAATTGACATTCTTTGATAGAATTTAAGCAAAACGATAATCTTCTCTTACATTAATTAGTTTTCAAATAAAATAAACATGAGTACATATTTTTCAATAGTTATAACCATATTTGTTTTAGTGTCTTGCAGCATGGAGATCATAACTCTTGGGAATAAAAGGATAGGCATGAAAACAAGTGTCCTAGAGGAAAAGGAGACAACTTGTTATATGCTTTGATTTGCTGCTATGCTGCATTGCTAATGACTTGAAGGAAAGTTTCTACTCATGAATCAACCAGACTGATATTTAATTTTTCCGTATTTCATATGTGCTATTGAGTGAATCTCTTTTCTGATGAGGAGTTAAGACAAGTGATGTTAATGCTTGAAAAAGGTGGTCCGACATTAGTTCCACTTCTGATATTTTGTTTTTTTATAACTTTTTCAATTATGATTATGACATTGTGTAGTGGTTTAAAACCGTCCCAGAGTTGTTATGATATGCCAAACTAATTAGAGAAAGGAATAGTGCGAGGCCTGAGACTTATGTCTAGCAGTTTATTCAGGTATATAAAAGAGAGTTAACTACTGGTTGAAACTGCTTTTTTTTGGGGGGATAAGGTATTGGTGAACTTGATTACTCAAAATAAAGGATATTTGCAATGCTCTACTTCGAATCCTGAATCATGACGCTTTTGAGTGAAAAAAATACATTGGAGAGGGCTTAAGTTTTCACTACATTAGTCTTCATCCATTCAGTCTTTTGTGCATTTCATGATCTATATGGTGATATATATATTGATCTAAATCCTCAATATATATGTGCATCTCATCGCTTAAAATGCTGCTAATGTAACATTTATGATGAAATGAATCTACCTACTTTTCAGGATATAATATATGTTTCAATATCTTTGCAACCAACAAGGAACTCAGAACTCCAATTTCACCTGTATTACTTGAAGATGCAGCAGAACTGTCAATGACCACTTACTAGTCTAAAGAACAATACAAAAATGTATCTGGTGAAGAAAAAAAAAAGCTAAATAGCTAAATGGTGTGGCAAATGGCTTCTTAGCCAGTGATGCGGATGTGACGGTAAGGTCTTTGTCACGACCCATTTCTATAATAGGTCATGATGGCGCCCAACACCGTTGTCAGGCAAGCCAACGCGAAAGTATTAGTAAATTCTTGTTTTACTTACCCAATTCGGTTACAACATTTCTTAATTTGCAATTTAAACAGGTGATGATAAGCAATATTTAATAATAATTATACAACCCAAAAGAACTATCTGCTAATGTGCGTGCCAAGACCTGGTGTCACAAGTAGTGGGCAACTAGTAGAATATACAAAAGAATAATACTATCCTACTATCCGGGATAGAATAGACAGCAAAAGTAAAGAAAGACCCCATCAAGCTGCTGAACGGCGCANTACTATCCTACTATCCGGGATAGAATAGACAGCAAAAGTAAAGAAAGACCCCATCAAGCTGTTGAACGACGCAAGAAGGGAGCAGCTCACCGTGGAAGGCTCGGTCTATGAATCAGGGGCGCGTACCAGTCTGGTAGACAGATATACCTGCCGCAGATCCTGTACAATTAAGTACAGAAGTGTAGTATGTACATAAACAATATGTACCCCGTAAGTATCCCGTCTAATCTCGAAGAAGTAGAGACGAGAGGTCGACTTGATACTAAGGTGAATAATACAATGTAGTGTTACACTAAGCATGGAAGTCACAAATAATCAACAGTTATTAGCAAGCGACAATATGTCATGTTCTTAACAATTTTACAATTTGCCATTTACATTTCAAATATTTAGCCGGTCAAGTCATAGATAAGATTTCATATAGTATCATGCGCACCCTATGTCGAGGTCGACGGCCTGATCCAACAACTGTGCACTGCCAGAGGGTCGAATGGCGTGAACCATAGATGCATCTATTCATACCGAGGTGATCGGCCCGATCCACAAATATCAATTAATATCGAGAAAACACACGAAGGCGCATTTATATTCAAATAAAATCATGCAAGGGTTCAACAAGTATATATGCTCGCCATTTTTCCTTTCCAAGTTTCTAGCATACCCTAAGTGATCACATTAGCACAAAAACATAGAGATATTCACTATATAACATGATGTGGGTCCTAGACTACCCGGACAATTAACATAATAGTAGCTACGCACGGATTCTCGTCACCTAGTGTGTACATAGCCCCTGCATTTAGTAGCAAATTACTCAATTATTACACCTATGTGGACAATTCCCTCTTACAAGGTTAGAAAGGAGACTCACCTCGCTCCAAAGTGCACTCCCAATACCAAGAACGAGTCCAAGCCCTCAATTCGGAGCCAAACCATCCCAAACTAGTTAAATGAGGTAGGAACTAGTCAATATAGACTCACGAGATCGTATTCTAGCTATTTAAGCAATTTCCCAACCCTTAACACAAGTTTCGTAAAATTCGACCCCGGGGCCACATGTCCAGATTCCGAAATTTTTCGGAGGAAGTTGTTCTCTATAACCTAAGGATCAATAATATATCATATCTAATTTATTCCATAACAAATTTCGTGGTTAAATCTAACTTTTATTAAAACCCTAAGTTTTTGCTCTAACCCCATGATTTCACCTTAATACTAGTGTTTAATCTACCTAAGACATAAATATTATACTAGAAATAGGTAGAACACACTTAACTCAAGATACTAGGTGAAGGTCTTCTCTCAAAAGCTCTAAAATCGCCCAATGGAGGAGTGAAATATGGCAAAAATGGACTTAGAACCCGTAATAAATGAACTCACTACCTCAGGGATTTCCGCATCTGCGGTTAGGGGACCGCATCTGCGAAATGGGCAAAAAGGGCTGGGACCGCTTCTGCGATCCTGAGCCCACTTCTGCGGTTCGAGGGCCGCTTCTGCTGTTTGGACTGGCCTTCCCCGGGCCGCATTTGCGATAGACGGACCGCATCTGCGGTCTCGCACCTGCGGTCCACCAACCGCAGGTGTGGTTATGACAGAAGCAATAGCTTCAGCACTTCTCAAAAATTTCCACTTCACTCGAGCTTCGTCCGATTGACGCTCGGGGCTCCTAGGCCCCACCCGAACATACCGACAAGTCTGAAATCACGAAACGTACCTACTCGAACCTTCGGAACACTCAAAACATCGCTAAATCTAAGAATCACTCCCTAAAACCAAATGAATCAAACTTATGAACTTCAAGTTCTCAATTTTCCTCCAACGGGCCAAAACGCCCTTAAACTACTCGGATTGACACCAAATTTTGTGGGCAAGTCTTAAATGATATATCGGACCTATACCGGGCTTCATAACCAACATACGAGCCCGATACCCATGAAATCAATCATTAATTAGTTTCTTTAAATCCTTAAAACTTCAGATTAACAATTTCTAATCAAAATTCATTACTCGGGCTAGAGACCTCAGAATTCGATTTCGGGCATACGCGTAGTCCCATATTTTTCTGCGGACCCTCCGGGACCGTCAAATTACTAATCCGGATCTGTTTGCTCAAAATGTTGACCCAAGTCAACTTAGCCTTTTTAAGAAAATCCTAAGGAACCAAATGGGCATATTTCACTCCAAACTCTTCCAAATCCCGAACAAACCATCCCCGCAAGTCGTAAATTAGCTAAATCAATCGCGGGAGGTCTTATTTAAGGAAATGAGGTTCAAAAAGGCAAAACAACCCGTCAGGTCGTTACATTCTTCACCTCTTAAACAAGCCTTCATCCTCGAACGGACATAGAAAAGTACCTGAGCTGCTGAATAAATGGGAATATCTGCTCCGCATGTCCTCCTCGGACTCCCAGGTCGCCTCCTCGACTGGTTGGCCCCTCCACTGGACCCTCACAGCAGAAATCCTCTTGGACCTCAACTGGTGATCCTGCCTATCTATAATGGCAACTGGCTCCTCCTCACAACCCAAACTCTCATCCAGCTGAATAGTACTGAAGTCTAACACATGGGACAAGTCGGCATGACACTTCCGAAGCATTGATACATGAAAAATCGGATGAACTCCCGATAAGCTGGGGGTAAGGCAAGCTCATACACAACCTCTCCAACTCGTCTCAACACCTCAAAGGGGCCAATAAACCTTGGGCTCAACTTGCCCTTCTTCCCGAACCTCATAATGCCTTTCATTGGCGAGACTTTCAAGAGAACCTTCTCACCAATCATAAATGATACATCACGCGCCTTTTGATCTGCGTAACTCTTCTGTCTGGACTGAGCTGTACGAAGCCTCTCCTGAATCAACTTTACCTTATCCAAGGCATCCTGTACCAAATTTGTACCATATAACTTAGCTTCACCAGGCTCAAACCACCTGATAGGAGAATGTCACGACCCCAAATACCGGTCGTAATAGCGCCTATCATATTACTAGGCAAGCCAATCAATCAACTAACTACAACCCATTTCCTTTAGTAATAAACTATTTACAACATAGGTTTTAAATACTGATTTCATAACAAACGTTAAAAACGATAGAAAAATATGTGAAAGTCAAAATAACAATAACCTACACAGCCTAAACTGATGTGGTGTCACGAGTCTAGAGCCTCTAATACAAGTCTGAATACCTAATACATCAATAGTTTAGGAAATGCGGAAAGATAATAAGATAAGAGAGAGAGAACAGGGCTGCGGACGCCATGCAGCTACTTCGAAGTCTCCATCAAATACTGAAACAGCTGAAAGCCCTCACTCGGTCGCTCGGGCACCTAGATCTGCACACAAGGTGCAGGGAGTAACGTGAGTACGCCAACTCAGTAAGTAACTAGAGTAAATAAGGACTGAAAGCAGTGACGAGCAGTTCAAAAATACATAACTGGATAATCAACGGAATATCAGGTCATCTTTACAGTTTAAAATCAGTTTTCGTTATAGAATCACATTTCCAGTTTAAAACATTGAAGTTAGTTGCTTAACAATATATCCAACAGAGGCTTAATTAAGTGAAATAAGTGAAAACATCATAACAAGGCCTATCGGGCAAGGAATCACTCAGAATATGGACCCTCGGGCAGCCTCTCAGTCACTCGTGACTCGACTCTCGTCACACAATACTCACTCTCAACACTCATCTCTTTAGTATCTCATAATAAGAGAAATCATAGTAACCGCTGCGACGTGCAACCCGATCCGTAATTTATAGTCGACTACGCTTACTGGGGTGTACAGACTCCGGAGGGTCTCCTACAGCCCAAGCATCATATTGCTGCGGCATGTAGCCTGATCCAATATACATATCGCTGCGGCGTGTAGCCCAATCCAGTATATATATCGCTGCGGCGTGTAACCCGATCCAAGTAAGTATCGTTGCGGCGTGCAGCCTGATCCATAATATATACATATCATATCCTCACTATTAGGTTCTCAACCTCTCTCAGTCATTAACCTCACAGCCTCTCGGGCACAATAATAGAAATTAGGGAAAT